GTCTGGGAGCAGATACTCTCTTGAATAATGGGACTTTTCTTATCTTGAGTTTCAATTGAGAACTGACCACTCCATAACCTCTCCCTAATCCCACCCTGAATCCCCTAGTTAGCATATTTGACTTATGTTTTATAGCATTTTATCCCATATAAACTTTACCTGTACCTCTCTAAGGTTTCAGGATCCTTAAGAATCCTTGCCCGCTGAAAAGTGTAACAATAAATCTTTGCCACCTTGAGTTAAAGAATGCTTGAGTCTGTGAATTCATTCCAGACGACCTGCCCTGTACTCTGGTTTTTGAGGGGTCACAACCTCTCAACCTCTCAGCCCGCAACAGTAATAAGGAAACTGAGGCCTTATAGTGGACAAGATCTAACAACTAATTAGTGACAAAACCAAGACTAGAGAACCCAGGCTTTCTAGAAAGTTCTTTAAAAATATTAAGAAAATATATATTACAATGTTCCATTCAGGAACTGACTCCCCATTTTTAACCTGAATCTGTTTTTCTTTTAATGGCCTCAACAGAAATGGCTAATAGTTAGTGATCATTCAATGTATGAGAATAATTCATGTGTTAGAAAGTCTTTTCAACCTCTTCATGTTGCGGATATCAGTTAATATAGGTATCTAGCATGTTATATTGGAAATGAATTTTAAAATCTAATACAGAAATATTATATAGTGTTCATTTTAAGATTTACAAGGAATAAGATGCAAAAAAAGGTGCCGATGTAAGCCTTATATAGCACTGTCTTTCCAATTTTTTATTATCTTTTCCCTTAGATTTCTAAAACTTCTCTCCACTTTTCTTAGGCAGAAATAAACTGAGTAAAATTCTGTGCTAAAGATTTGATCTGTTCCAGTAGAAACATTACTTTCCAGCTAAGACCTAGATGGCTCTGGAGGAGAAAGTGAAGCTGCTGACTTCACACAGCCCTCCCTCACTCAGATATAATCCACTTGCAAGTCATGGCATCACCTTCCTGATGTCATGGTCCTCTTTGAGAATGAAGGACAAACAATAACAACTTAATGCTAATATCATGAATATTGATTACAATTAAAAGTTTAAAATTCATTTTCTGTTCATTCTCTGTGGATTGATTATTTTCCTGGTTAATAAAGTTATCAATTCTTATAAAAATTCTTTTCCATGAAGTGAATGCTAGAATTGCATATGACAGTAAAACTTGGAAAAGTGTGATTATATTTTAGAGTTGTGTTGTGTAAGTGACTGAGGGACTAGGTTCATAGAATTGCTAGAACCAGGTTAATAGTAGTATTTAGAGCTTAGAATCTTGTTATCCAGGCAGATAAATAGTGAGTATTTTGATTGTGTATTTGGAAACTTGAAAAATACATTTCCCCTCCCAAGAATTTTGAATGGAAGAAGCTTACAACAGTTAACGTTTTTTATTAAGACAATTTATTTAGTTGATATTTGTATTCCATATAATATACTCTGGTCACTTTTTAAACTTAAATGATAATACTACTTATAGAATGAAATCTGCTATCATAAGGTATTTCAAATGAACTATAATGATACAGTATTCTTATTCTGTTACTTTTTTTTTGGTACAATAGTGTTGGTAGCAAATGTTGAAAATATGCAAGAAAAGACATCTCTGCATTCACGTGACCCACTTTTTTGATTATCAGAACATGACTTTTAAAAAACACACCAAATAATCAGTATTTATTAAACACCTGATTGGCAGCCATTGTGACAGGCTCAAGATATACAAAAACAAAGAATGAAATAGGATTCAGTTGTAATAATGTTATTTGTAGTTTTGATACTTCCATGGACGTTCTTACTACCTCTCTTATTCAGAGGGTCTCAAACAAATATGAAATATTATTTTGACATGCAAATTTGAGTATTTGGGCATTACTTATAGCAACTAAATCAAACACATCTGACTTAATTCTGCATTCAGTAGATAACAATTTTATCAGTGTAATGATTCAGTCATCTTCTCTAAGTATTGACTTATAATTTTTTAAAATTTCTGTTATCTAACAGATTAGCTATCTAGATGTATATATTTATGAATATAACATGGAATAGGATTTTGTCATTCTAATTTGTGTCATTTTGCTAGAAAAATTGCCTTTCATGCCTATACTATCAAATATGTTGATCTAGAAAGCCTTTTTTTCACACTTCAACTGATATATAAAATTTGCTATTTTATCAGGCTTAATATAATTTTATGAATAATGCAAATAGATTATTTTTTTCCTTTCTATTATTATTATGTTCTTTGCCCTCTTCCTAAGAGGTAGCCAACAGTGCCACCATCAGAAACAGTTAGGCTTTCTTATTGTGTTAGGTATTCTCATAAGTAAAAGTCCTGAAAGACTCATCAGTGTGCCATGACTGTAACATCACATTTTATGCTTATTGTAAGTAGCTACTTATAAATATTATCTGTTTAATATGACAATAGATAATGATGCCGTAGTGAAATTAAATTTTAAAATGTTTTACCTGTGAAACTAAATGCAAAAGTGAAACCCATTTTCTCCTTAAATTTTTGAGTAATCAAGTCCTGTATTATTATTTCTTAAGAGCTACTAATTTGTGCAACAATCCTTTCCAAATTATTCTTCCTTACCTTGATTATGCTTAATATGCTTAATGTCAGTGGTTATTTTCTTTTGTCTTATATATTTTCACAAGAAGCAGTCCTCAAAAAAAAGAAAAGGAAAAAAATTAGCCAAGTGATAACTTATCCCTTTCATAATGTAGTATTCATTGAAAACTCATTATGAGTTTCCTAAATAGTAAAAAGTCATTTTTATGTCCATATTCAAAATTTAATATTTATTTACTAAGTGACTCAAGCTCTTATTTGTTACCTTAATTTGAATTTTTAAAAATAATTTTAATATCTGTGACAATTTGTTGAATGTTCAAGTGTCCTTGTGTACAGATTTCAAGTTTTCAGTAATTGCAGAATATTTCCTCTCCCTTCCTCTCTCTCCCTAACATTAATATAAAAATGTTGCTTATGGAAACATTTCTATGAATTTCTAATTTCAAAATGTTGAAGTTGTGGAAACTTGCTGAAATTATTTCAACTCCTTGTTTGTACATGTTATATTGGGAAGAAATGAAAACAGTAAAGAAAAATGCAGAAATATTATGCATTATTCTTTTTAAGATTTATAAGAAACAGATGCAGAAAAGATGCCTATTTCAGGCATTTTGTGGGTAGGCACTTTTTCAGTATCATTTGTACTTCAAGTTGTTTACAACGTTGAAGGTTTTTTGTAAACTGCAATGTTAGTATAATTATGATAATTTAGAAATCTATATTAAAGCACAAAAGTGTGCTTTCATGCCCCTATACTTACATGATATTGTGTATTTATTTTTAAATGAAAAGAAACCTGGTCTCCATCTTCCTGTTGACATCAAACAGTCCTCTGATATGCTAATTCTGCTATGGGGAGAACCCATACATAGGATTTATTTGGATTCATTCCAAGTCTGAGTGAAAATAATATGTAAAGAAATGATTTTGCAGTATTGCCTCATTTGAATGAAAACTGATGTTAAAATATTCTGGAATTAAAAGTAGTCAGAATAGAAAACCTGACATGTAATTTTCTAATATTTTAATAATACTTTATGTTGCCTAGAAATCATTTCTATTGCTGTTTGACTCCAGAAATTTTTTCATCAGTATTACTATTGTCTTCATCAACTTACGTAACATTATTGGTTATTATAACATTTTGGTGATGTAGCATGTCATTTGAGTATTTGATAAAAGTGAATTTTATTAAGATAGCTGATAGGGTCTTTTAAACAATGGAAAAACTAATAAAAATTAATCTGGGTCATTTGTCTTCCTTTACATATTTTTCTTTGGTTTCTCTGAGTCCTCAGTCAAACAAAAATAATGCTATATTTTCCCATATAAAAGGTGGATAACCAGTACATATCCCAGTAATGATTTTCATTTCAACCTGCCCTCCACTGGTAACACTGCAGAAAAACTGACAAAATTGCTTATTCTTAAAATCCCTGATATTTAGGGTCTCAGTATTAAATAACAAACAACTATATAGCATTTCAGGCTTTATAACATATGGAATATGTAGAGGTTACACATGTATATTGTCAAATTTAACTTTAAATTTTGTAGTCCTTTTGATGGATGAATGAGTTTTTAAAGGGACAAAAATGGGCATTGGCTAAGTCCATGTGAAAACATTTTAATAAGTGAGAGTCAGTGTTTTAATGTCTAAAACAATTTTCCTATATAATCAGTTTTAATAAGTTATAAATCTCACATTAATTTCAGAATTATTATTTTCTTCTCTTGTAAAATGATTGAAAAATAGCCTAGAGAGCTCAATTTTGTAAAATCTACATTTCCTGATTTTAAAAATGTTTATGATATGCTGATATTTTAAGTTGCTTCACCTGACTTTGGAGTGAAGTTTTTAGATATGATTTAGTAAGACTCAAGTTGTAGGTATATGTTTTTTGTATCAAATATTTATAGTAGGAATATTCATATAAACCGAATTCTTGTAAATAGAATTATATTTTAGAAGCACACATTAGAATTCATTATTAAAGGAGTCCTGTATTTGTAATGAGAATAGTTTCATAATGCAAATGATCACTTCTAATTTATGATTTAGATTTTTTTTTGTAGAATGAGGCAGACTGTAAATGTATAAGATGTAAGTGATATCTGCAAGATATCATTTGATTGTGTAGCAACTAACAGTATTCCTAGCATTACCTGGATTAGTATATTAATTAAGTAGGGAGGAAATTGAGTTGACATATCAAGTAAAATTCTTGTAAATATGTCAATAAGTAAAGTGTTCTAAAGAGCTACTTTAGTTTTTGTGGTAAAATACTATCTCTGATTTGGTGACCATTTTTTGCATTGTGTAAAATTAAGTTCCAAGAATTGAATTTTGAGAAATTTTCATTATTCTTTTCTATTCTATTTGTTTTATAGCATTTTAAGAAACAAAAAAGATTGATTCCTGAAAGGACAGTTTGGAAGTACTTTGTTCAGCTCTGCAGTGCATTGGAACATATGCATTCCCGGCGAGTTATGCATAGAGGTATATGAAAATTTTGCATGTTTGAGATAGATGCTTGGCAGTTGAGGGATAAATTATGTCAAGCTTAAATGAAAGAGAATAATTTTTGGTGGGTAATTATTTTCCAGATACTATAATTTTGTTAGAATATAATTACTCGTAACAAAAGTAGTTTGGGTTTACGTAAAAATAAAAACAGCGTTGCAGATTTTTCACTCTTCAAAGCATTTTATTGTTTTAAGTAATTTGTTAAATCAGGAAGAGAACAATATTAAGAGATGAGGAACTAAAGAAAGAAATGTTATATGTGAGAAAATGAATATTTTATTAAATGAACCATGTTTATTACAGCAGCCTAAACATTTAGGTATTAGTATTCAATCTTAGAGTGCTGATAATGTTGTATTGTTGGCCAGAGACTAAGATTTTCCCCCATCATTAAGTGGTTAAATCATAGACTTTGGAAAGAAATCATGCATTTTGTTTGAGTGTTTTAGAGTTGTAGTTTCTGAAGTAGCCCAAGTTTAATTTTAAAATTATCATATGTAGTAAAAATGAACATTCTTATTTTAAGTAGTGTTGGTAAGTTAAAAAATAGAAGAATGGGCAACATTCTGCGAGGTCTGATTTTCTGTTTAGAAAACAGAACTGTAGTTTGAACAAAAGCTAGTAACATATTAAAATTGTCTCATTTATATTTATTGCTCCAATGCATGTTTATTTTGTGTTTTTATCAGCTCATATGAGTACCGAGAGAATTTAAAAATGTCAGTTTAGGTCATTTTTAAAAAATGTCTGAATATAACAAGAAAATTATTTAAAATTCTGAAACCTATTTTTCTAGTAAGGTACATTTAGTAAGAATATTTGCATTCTTTCCTCTAAGTCCTCCCCCGAAAAAAAGGTTTTCAAAACTTCTCCCTTCAAAAATTCTCTTAACTCTTTCCTGATGATTTTTTTATTTATTTATTTTACAGATATAAAACCAGCTAATGTATTCATTACAGCCACAGGAGTAGTAAAACTTGGAGATCTTGGACTGGGCCGATTTTTCAGCTCTAAAACCACAGCTGCACATTCTTTAGGTAGGAATTGTTAAATAATTTCAAACTAATATTTTATCGCATATAAAAAATCATATGCATAAATATTGATGTAGTTTCTTTGCAGGTGCCAGATAAAATCATTTTTAAAATTAAGTCATCAATTTCATGAAGATACTAAAAGTTGTCAGTGGGAGATTTACTGTCTGTTTCAATAGAATAGTTTAATATTGTTTCCTTGACCTCAGTAATTTTGGTAGATAATGTCTGGCAAGAGCACGTCTGGTTTTTCTATTACCATAGAGTATTCGTTTTATAATAGTATAATGAGAACTAATGAATCAGCTGCTTTCCTGGTGAGGACTGCAGTCTCTCTGGAAAAATACCGTAACAGTTTGTAAATGTTTATTTATAATGGGAAAGTATATGAAGGTGATGAATATATTGAGGAGATGATTTTTTTTAAAGATTATGGATCATTAACAAAATATTTTTTACAAATTATAAATCATAAAATTTTAGCATCTCAGAAATATATTCTCATTTTTTGTTCAGAATAGAATTTAATATAGGTTTTCAAACGTTAAGAATAGGAAGAAAATACTATTTGACATGAAAGCAATTTAATAATTACTAGGTAGAATAAATGATTTTAAATTGGGTACCATAGTAAAGTCTTGTGAATTCTCTTAAAGCCCTTAAAATATTTTTTTTCTTTTACATGCTTTAAGAACTAGCTATTAGTAGAGAAAATGGGTAAAAGTTCAATTATGAGAATATAAGTAATTTTTCAGGCTTAGTAATGACCCTGTAGCTTCATACTTAGACTATGTATTATTTTTTCTTTTGAGATAAGGGGTAAATTTAGTTTGTAAACTTGACATTCAATTTTTTGGTATTGAAAAAACAGTTTTAGTGTATTAAAAATAAAATTATTAAAATTAGAATATCAAAATTTATAATCAGATAAGAAATAGAATAAGATTAGAATTGGGCTGATTGATTTACACCTGGACAAGAACTCATCTAGTCCACAATCTTGTTTTACAAGTAAGGGAATTAAGGCTGAGATGTTTAGTAATATTCCAGAAGTATACAGATAATAAGTAGCAGAGCTGAGATTTGAGCCTAGGTTCTCTGATTTCAAATCAGACATGTTTTTCACTACACCATATTGTCTTTACAGTATAATGAATATATGCGTTCCCCCCCCAAAGAGAGATGGTAAGGACCAAATGAAGTAACAGGTGGCAGTGTTTTGAAAAGTGTTAAGCAGGATGCAGTGGCAGGATGATATTCTTATTTCTTACTTTGGCTCTTTTATATTTACTTTTATTGGGAAATTGGAAAAATTCCAAACCCTAATAGGGAATTAAGTAAGAATATTCACAGGAAGACAAGAGAGAACCTCACGGTGTTTATCTAATATTAGTAATAGTTAATTACATAAATTTAACAGCACTAAAAATAAATCCTCCTTTTTTGGAAAGTCACAACTTCAGTCATAAAATGCAAAGATTGGAAAGCAAAAGGAGGCCACATAGATAATCTTATGGCAATTCAATAGGATGGCATTTTGAATTTTTGCATTAAAAGAAAATGATTATATAATTTGTTCTAGAGCAACGTTAGCATATCTTTTCAGAATATACCTTTCTCACTAGCAAATTGGGTTTAATAGTTAATATTATTGTTATAAAGGCAAATTTTTGTGTTTTCTCTTAAATAACATATGCAGGGGGAAAAAACTGCTTATCTCAGAACTATTAGCTCTAGAAAGAATACAAATTGTTACATTTTTTTCATCTTCTGAATTGCTCAAGACCTTTGAAAACTTTAGTCATTCCAGTCTAAAGCATCATAACTAACACATTCGTAAGCAGTAAACCTCTCCCATTATAGTCATGTATTTTGACAAATTCTAAATATCAGATTTTGTTGATAGCCATTGAAAATAGGAAATATATTCATTTCAAAACTATTAACGTGGGCTTTTTTTTTTCGAGATAGATGACTAAAGCACAGATTCAAATAAAGGTATAGCTTTATACTTTTGAGTAGTGTGCTGAATTGTGTCAAAATCTGTCAATTCCTTTAAAATTATCTTGGAGCTGATTGACAAATGCTAAATACCAAGGTTTTGCTTTACTTTAAACAAAAATCTTAGATCATTATTAAAAATAATTCATATCTTCTCTTGAGAACATGAAAGTTTTACAAATTATAATTTTAGTATTTCAGTGAGTTATTTCTTAGGTACATCTACTGAGATGTACTTTTTCACTTATATATTTCCTCAGGAAATATTCTTAATAGATTTAGTTTTGTCAAGAGTACTCACACAAATTCCTGGTGGCGTAATAAAAACAGTCAAGATTCTATCACCAAACGTGTTATCACAGAACCCCATATAGGAAAGGAGCCTCAGAGGCTGTCTACAGCACAACCGTTACATGAATAGAAATCCCCTCTATGTCATCCCAACAGGTGGTCATGCAGTCTTCACTGGAAGATTTCCAGTGAGGGACAAACAATTGCCTCCTGAGGCATCAAATTCCACTTTTGATTACCTGTAATTGTTAGAAGGTTTTCTTGTACTTTAATCAATCATTGAATAAGCATATTAAGCATTTACTAATGTGTCAGGAACTATAAATAGGAATTGATTATGTAAAGATAAATATTTATTCAGCTCTACAAATTGTCTAAAAATATTTTAATTGAGGTTTTGTCCACATGTTAACTTTTCATTCATTTTTGAAGTCTCATTATATAACTATAAAATTAGCATGACACCACAGTCTCTTTGATTTCCCTTTCCCTGCAGATGATAGGTTAAACTATAGTTAGGACTGAAATGGTTTTTTTGCTTTTTGTATAGACCTGGTTGAATAATCCCTTCTAGCAGATTGTGGTTAAAAACAAAACAGGAATTTGTTATATTAATAAATCTGTGAGTTTTAAGACAGTGTGATTAAGAAAGTATATTATACATCACAAACAAGTAAGCAGCACATATGTATATTAGAAGCATATTGTATAAATACTGATCTGTAGACTACGTTGCTCTCACCATTCAGTTGTAGTCAGCAAGTTGTGGTCAAGGACAATATATAAAACAGAACAAGGCAGTACCTGGGAAGGTCATGACAGTCTATAGTACCTTGGAAGGTCATGACAGTCATTAGGATGCAGTATTGTTGATCTTGCTTTATCTGAATACTCTTTATAACAAGAGTTCTTTAAAAGTAGGATTTTACAGTCACATACATATATATAACTTGAGATTTCAAGAAAAGCATTTGTTCATATTGTGCTGGAAAATCTGCTCTCCCACCATCAGTAGAATATAAACTCCTTGAAGATTGGGATTATTTTATTAGCAAGCATTGCTCTCTTTTTTGCTACTCTGCTACTGTCACTTCAGATGCAGATGAAAGAGGCCATACAGCACTGAGAGCCATTTCGAATTTTATTTTTGTTTGATTAATTGGCCATGGATTGATTATGGCCACAAAATTCATCACCAAATAAATACCCTGCTAGAAGTTAAGAATTTCCCAAAGGGTAGTGAAGAGGGATTCACTGTTGGGAGTGAGCCGACTATAACATTATAAATAAGTGATTTCACATTGGAAGTCATGTAAAAGATGGTATCAAAGAAATCTGTGATAGGAAAAAAAACATGGCTTGGTCACATATCTAGAATTTAGGATAATCAATAAACAGCCCACGTGCTCCATTAGTATCTTAATAATGTGAAAAGTGCTCAAGGAAGGCCCTTAGTATGTTAAGTTGTCCCCTATAAATGAATGAATCAATCATCATTACTTTGTGTAAGGCACTATACTAAGTACTGCAAATGCAAATGGAAAAAAAGTTAAGACAGTCTCTGATTTGAAGGAGTCACATGCTGTTTGGGGGATGGAGTGAGGAAGACCATATATAGGACAGATTTCAGTTGCAAGTCTGATAGAAAGGCCCAGTTGGATCTTAGAGTACTGCAGCATAGCAGGTGGTAATTCATCTTCTTTAATATGATTTCCATTGTCAGTAAGTAAAGATTATTAAGCACCTACTATATGCCAGGTATTGTACTAAGCACTAAAGATACAAAAAGAGGCCCTGCCTTTGAGGAGCTCACAATTTAATGGGGGAGACAACAAGCAAACAAAATGATAGAAGCACGTTATATAGAGGATAAGTAAGAAACATAAGAGAGGGAAGGCACTAGGATTAAGAGAAGTTGGGAAAGCCTTCCAGTAGAAGATGGGATTTTAGTTAAGACTTGAAGAAAGCCAGGTGAGCCAGTAGGCAGAGTTGAGGAAGGAGAGCATTCCAATGGGACAAGCCAGAAAAAGATGCCAGAGCTAAGAGGAGAGTCTTGTTCGTGGAAGTCAGGAGGCCAGTGTCACTGGCAAGGAAAAAGATGTAAAACAACTGGAAAAGTAGAAGGGGGCTAAGTTATGAAGGGCTTTGAATGCCAAACAGAGCATCTTAATATTTGCCCCTGGAGGCAATAGAAAGCCACTGGAGTTTATTGAGTAGAGGAAAGGATATGATCAGACCTGAGCTTTAGGAAAATCACTTTGGTGACTGAATGGAGGATGGCTTGGAGAGAATTGAGTCAGGCAGACCCACCAGTAGGCTGTTGTGATAGTCCAGAAGAGGTGGCAGTGTGAGGGGAGAGAAAAAAGACTATTTGAGAGATGTTTCAAAGGTTTTAAATTGGCAGACCTTGGCAAGAGTTTGGATGTGGGAGGTGAGACATAGTGAGTAGTCCAGGAATTGCTAAAATTATAGCTGTTTCAGATGTTAAACTGTTTGACAGTATTGAGGACTTTAGGCTAGAAGCAAGGCCAGTGATCTGGGGGACATTTGGGCCTTACTGGCTGATAATTGTCATTTAGTTGACATTTGGTATTGTTGGTGGGAAGGATGATTGGCTGCTTCTCCCCAGACTTCTCTCTCTGATGACTTCAGGGTCTGGATTGTAAGCAGAGTGAAAGGTCAGAAACAGGGAGGGAGAAAGAAGGGGGTAC